TGTAGCACTTGGAGGTTAAGAAAGTCGAGGACTCTAGCTTGATGTTGAGGGCTCGGGTTTAGGGTTTAGGGGCTTAGGGTTTAGGGGTTTACGGGTTTGGGTTTAGGGTTTAGGGGTTTAGGGGTTTAGCGGTTTGGGTTTTAGTGTTTAGGGTTTAGGGGTTTAGGGTTTAGGGGGTTTCAGGGTTTAGGGTTTATAGGGATAGCAAAATGTGCACATGCCTATCAAAGGTGGTTACATTCTGTAGCCACTGTTCTTTCAACTCTACGGACCACCAATGCATAGATTTAGATAAGATCACACACAAACACAGAGAGATAAAGGTCCATGTGGACTATCCACATGCTCTGATGGCTCAGCAGACCGGATGTCGCAGCCCAAACCAACGACTGCTATAAACATTTCTGGGATCCCTTTGGCTCCCGGTGCTAGGTCAAGTTTACTGGAATCTTAGGGTTTAGAGTTCAGGGTTTAGGGTTTATCGGAATTGTAGCAGGGTCTTCTTAAACTTTGTGGCAGTTTGCGAGGCTCCACAGGGCTGTGGTGGTCTTGATCGGGTGTAAAGCAGTCAACCGTAAACCCTACACCAGTTGGAGGGGGGGGGACATGGATGTGAAGTTTTTTATAACAATTATAACCCTAAGCCCTACACCCTGAATGAAGCGGGACGATGCACCTTGAGTGTTACCTAGTTTCTCAGATGCCGACGTAGGTGCGTGCAAACTGCCTGCAGAGCTTCGGGACCGAGAGGGTCTTTAGTCTAAGGGCAAACTCTTGCAAGACTCCAAAGAAAATAACCAGAAAGAGACCACTTAGGGTTTAGGGTTTAGGGTTTTGGGTTTAGGGTTTGGGGTTTGGGTTTGAAGATTAGGGTTTAGGGCTAGGGTTGAGGGTTTGGGGTTCCGAAACTCCGACAGAGAAGAAAGGCAGCCATCTGCACCAACGTCCGAAGACCTCAATCCCAACACCGTAGACCCCGAAGCCTCGTCTCAGCCCCTACAAAAACCCCAAAGCCCTCTAATAAGCTATGAACCCCTACATCTAAACCCTAAACCCTGAACCCTACTGTAAACCTTAAGAGCACAATCTCCGAAGCAGCTGATCTTGAAGCCCAAACTCTAATCCCGAAACCCTGGCATCGCTGGGGCGGGGGCCAGAAGCAGAACAGGCAGCGCTTGGAAAATCTGCATCCTCTGCGCCTGTCCATCGTCTTGATGATGTGCGTGGTGACCTTTGGGATGTAGAGTTAGGGCACCAGGAGACATCAACATCCCTTAAACAAGATGTTCTGATCCCTAACATTGCCCCATGACCCCAAAACCTGAGTTTGTGGTTCCGGATGAAGGGATGGTTGGAGAGATTGGAGCCCCCTAAACCCGAAACACTATAAACCCTAAACCCTATAAACCCTAGACCCTATTAAACCCTAAGCCCTCTAAACCCTACACCCTATTGAACCGGAAACCCCATAAACCCTAAGCCCTAAGCACCCTGGTTTTGAGTTTAGGGTTTACCCGCAGGCACCATAGTAGTTCCTTTTGGGGATTCATATTTAGAATCCTAGAAGGTAATCCCAAAAAGGAACTACTATGGGGCCTATGGGTAGTGGTGCATGGCCTTCTACAGGATGCAAAGGCCGGGACGACAGTCGAGCACCGGAGCTGGAGATTTGGAGGACATGGTTCAGGATTGAGGTTTTAGGGTTTAGGGTTTTGGGGTTTAAGGGTTCGGGGGTTTCGGGTTTAGGGCTTAGGGGTTTTAGGGTCCGGGGGTTAGGTTTCATGCCTCTTCAGAGGTCGATATCCCCTATTTGGGCCCTACGCCCTAAACCTAAAGCCTAAGCCCTTCGTGAAAGATGCTTCTCAAGGGGCGCTGATGTTGATGGAAGACAGGTCCTCCACCGAAAAAAGCCGCAAAGAGGTCCTCTGGTGTCATGAAGTCCTGCAGGATTTAGGGTTTAGGGTTTACGGGGTTTAGGGATTTTGGGTGAAAGGTTCAGAGCTTAGGGTGTCGAGTTTAGGGTTCAGGAGCTTACATAGCGCCTGGGGTTTGGGGTTGAGGACGTCCTGCGAGACGATCATGCAAGGCGTTATTGATCATCGTGATTTTGGTGATTGCGGCCTTGCGACGATATGTATATAGCGACCCCTATGTTATGTACGTCGTCCTGCCCAACACCAGGCTCCAAGCAAGAACTCGCAACCTAGAGGCATGAATACATACGAAAAGGCTTGGGATACAGTATATTGGATTTTGTCCTGTTATATGTGAATGCCATTTTTGTCGTGTGGTGGTATCACTACGATATTACTGATATTGCTGTACGACTGCTCTAGTATACCCATAGGCCCCATAATAGTTCCTTTTTGGGGTTCATACTTAGAACCCTATGAAGTAATCCCAAAAAGGAACTACTATGGGGCCTATCGGTAGTATATACTTAGGCCTCAAAGCATCTACGTGGGACCCACCTGGAGTCTAACTACATACTATATTAGGGTTTATAATACAAACCTACAAAAAGGTAGGTTGTGGTAGTTTAAGGTATATCTACATGATGGGAGCTGGAACGGGCATTGCCGACTCCAGGAGGTCATGGGGAGATCCTTTTCCGGCTCGGGCCTGCTGTTGAAGAGCTTCGTGGGTTTAGGGTTTAGGGCTGGTCGGAGAAGGGCTGAAGATAAAGGGTTAACGTCCTGAACCTTCAACATCTGGGTCAGGAGGTATCATTCCAATTTCTGGCGGATGGGCTTGGTGGGGTGGGGGGGGGGGGGGG